TTTTTAAAAGGGGGGGGGGGGGGGGGGGGCGTCTTGGGGGCCAATTTTTTTTTTATTTTTTTAAAAAAGGAAAAAAAAAGGGGGGAAAACCCCCGGGGGGGAAAAAGGGCCCCTTTTTGGGGGGGGGGGGAAAAAGGGGGGGGGGCCGGGGGAAAGGGGGTTTTTTTTTCGGGATGGGGGTTAAAAATTTTGGGGCCGGGGGGTTTAAAAGGCCCCCCCCCCCGGGGGGGGGTTTTTTTTGTTTGGGGGGGGAAAAAGGGGCCCAAAAAAAAGGGGGGGGGGCTTTTCCCCCATTTGGGGGGAGGGGGGGGGTTTGGGGGGGGGAAATTAAAAAGGGGGGTTTCCCGCGGCCCCCGGGCCCGGGGGGAAAAAAATCCCTTTTTTTTTGGGAAAAAGGCGGGGGGGGGGGGGGGGGGGCCCCCCCCCCCCCCCCCCCCCCCTTTCCGTACCCTTCTCTCTCTTTTTTTTATTTTCATGTGGTGGTATGTTGCCTTACGATTTTGTTTTGTTTTTCGGTTTCCTCTCGGAAAGATGGCAGTCATGATGGTGATGATAGTAGATCGACGGGGCTTTGGTAATAGTTGTGTGCGTTTTTTGGGGGGGGGTGGGGTGTAGCACACGCGGGAGTACTTTGGGATCGGAGTTTTGCATCTTTTATCCACTGTTGAAAGGAGGCGGGAGAGAGTTAAGTGTGTCTTGAGAAGGTTTCCAGTATCTAGAGAAGGGGAACTTTACCCAGGCGGCGGCGGCGGTGCATCTGACGGGGCAACTTGACGGGTTATACCTTTTTTTTCTGCACAGCAGCAGCAGCAGCAGTGTCCGCGCATTCTGCTCTCCTCGAAAATCGTACGCTGAAGGTTGGTCAGCGACCTATTCGGCTGAAAAGCGTGACTGATCGTGTCTCCCACTCCGGGCTCGTTGCTTGGGCAATACACACACAGCGACAGCTTCGGGAAGAAGTACCTACCGTCACGTCTGGGTCGGCCCACATTGCCTGCAGATGCAGTGCTCCGTCACACACATTTTATTTTCTGTCTCAGTTCGTGACATTGTAAAGCATGCCGACGACTATCTATCGTCGGCGTCGCTTGTTCCGAGGTCGTTGTCTTGTTTTGCGGTAAATATAATATTGAGAAGGGGTGCGAGGAAAGACTATAATACCCCTGCACGCAAGAACGTGATGCAGAACACGTCCTTCGCGAACTGAACTAGCAACAAACAAGACTGATCGGAGGGGAGCGAGACTCACGCGGCAGGGGCGGGCCCCCGCAGTCTCAAACTGACGCGTGCTTGTGACGAAGGGATGGGGTTGGGGGTCGGGGGTGCCCTGCTCAGGCAAGCCATTTGCCAGTTGGGCCAGACTAATAGTAGCAGGTCACAGTCATCGTGCCAACCTCCGTCCACCTTTTGGTCACCGGCCGTAACCGGTTTCGCAATTGATCGCGAGCTGGTTCCAATCTTGTTGCAAGGTGCAACAAACAAAAGTACTGGTAGATGATAAAGTCGACCGACTTACCCGACGTTCATACTTTTTTGTTTCAGGTCTGCTGTAGACTGCCTCTCTTTCAAGCTTGTCTGGGGAACAATTTTTGGGGAGAGGTGGGTTGGCTTGTGTGCAATCTCTGGTGTTTGTTGATCGGACGGAAGGGCACGGCTGGGGATGTATGCGCTACTTTCATCCCGCGTCACTCGTCATCAAAACACGAGGGATTACTTGGAAGGATCCGTAAAAATGTTCGTGCCAGCCACACAACACAACCACCGTACGCAAGACTACAATAGCGTCTTGTTATTGGTGGTCTGGTTAGCTCAGTGGATGCGAGTTATCAAAGAACCACCTCACCCGCAAGCTTGAAATTATACGAAGTTTTCACCTTGCAATGTCTTCATTAAGTTTTCTCTGCCAGTTAGTAAAAGCACTCGTCACTCGTCTCGTCCTGTAGGGTGGAGGAGGTCCGTCGTGGAAAGTCCTTCTTCCGAGCAAGTTTCAGACGAAAACTGCCGGCCGAGACACCAAACTAGTATTTAGAGCCGCACCTCACGCAACAGAGAAAGGTCGGCTTTATGCATAGCCTACTACTACCATAAAGGATCGCGC